AAGACTGTGAAATAAAATAGACATTGTTTCCTGGGTGTGCCACACTAATGGAAATTTTGTTACTTCATTTCCAGTTTGCCTTTCTATATTCAACTTTAATGAGTGTTAGTGTAGCTTGTTTTCCCACATATTCCTAGTTTACATCCAGTTTGTTTTTCAAAGAAATAACAGTATATACAGTGTTACTCATTCATTGCCATCAAGCTGAAATTAACTCACAGCTGATCCTCCAACAGATTTTCAGGGGCTGTACATTGCAGGAAAAGAGATTGCCCATCCTTCTCCCACTGACAGCCAGTGCAGGCAAAAACTGCCTCCCTTTCAGTTGGCAGCACAACTCCTTACCTCCTGGGGCCTCCAGGGCCTCTTCAAAACTCCAGATTCTAAGATAATCTAGGTTGAGTTTGTACACTGACAAGTAAAAATCTACCCATAGCTGAGCCTCCAAAGGCTTTTCAAAAGCAGTAAATCACATTGGAGGAGCTCTCAGGACAAGCAGCTCGTGGATTTGCAATGCTCGCCTTTAGGTTGGCAGCTGATTTTGAACCTTCATCCCTACATACTTGGGCAAGTGGCCAGGAGGGACTAGTCCTTGGAAAAAGGCATCGTGCTTGGACAGGTGGAGGAATAGCAGCACAGGAAAGGAAAAGTATAGACAGGGCCATGAAGTCAGTGTGTCAGAGACAGTGAGATTGGCTCAGCATAGGACAGGATTCAGAAATACTGTTCCAAGAGGATCACTGTGAGTTACAAATGCTTCCAAAACACATATCAAAAAAGAAGCTCCAGTAGATCAGCAGAATGTACCACTTAACCAACTGAGCTTACTGGAGCTTATAGTATCAAATAGGTACATTTTGATCTCTTCAGGGGTATATCAAGTTTGAAATTAGGAGAAAATCAGGTTTTTATTTTCTAAGTGCCAAGTCATGTTGTCTTGATTTCTTACTATAATATATGCTAAGGTATTTGCTCATGAATCAATCAAATTTTCCTACTACTTTACAAAGTCTATTTTTTATATTTATATACTGTATCGTATCTCTCCTTTAGCTTTTCTAGAGAAAATTGAAGAAGAGACTGGTAAGAGCTTATTTTTACTTTATAACTGAATCAATAGCACTCATTTTCTCCACTTATATCTATTAAATTACATATTATTTACTTATTCATTACATTTATTGCATATCCACGATGAATTTGTATTTGTCCATCAGAATAAGAGACAAGAGATTTGGGGGCGGGGCAGTACAGAAGAGTGAAGAAATAGGTAAGGTACAATGGGGACATGAAGAGACAAGAGAGATAAAAATAGCAGATCAATAGTAATTAATTTCATAAAACACAATGTGCAGAATTGACTGTATAATTAAAAATATGCATGGATATATATTCATATATAGGTTTATATATATGAATAATTGTATAAAAGTGAAGCATGGCATAAATAATATTATTTCTCTAAACAGAATAGTCTTAATGATAATTTAGATAAGATTTAAATATATCTAAAAAGGAAAGAAGTTGGCTTTAAATACAAAACACCTGTTTTTATATACTAAAACTTAGTATGTTTTCTGCCAATACAATTTTTATAAACTTACAAACTTTAATCCTGGAAGGCATTATTCATTAATTGTCAGTACAACATACGCGTTAAAATATTCACAGGAAACCTCTATTATAAGAGTTGCTAAAGAAAACTGATTTGCAAAAGCTAGGTAAAATGTTTTCTCTTTAAATAATTGATACCTGATACACATTTGTACACACAAAAATTTACTTGCAATATGTACTATCCTTTTACATGATTGCTTGCGTTCTCTTAATTTTACTTTCTGTATACATTTTTGTACTTTATTTTTTTTATAATCCTCCTAATCCATTCTCTCCTCTTTTCACTGAACTAATTTCACTTTTCATTTTCTCCTCTTTCCACTGAACTAATTTTCATAGCTTTTTTTTTGTTCAGGTCTACAGATCTCTTGTCTAACCCAACATTAAGGAACATTTGATATGGGAATCCATTTGAAAGTGTCTTTTGCACATAATCCACCCCTTAAAATATTTAGTCATTTACTTGAAAATGATGACAAAATAGCTAGGCCAGGAATTGAGTTGTCACGTCAGAATGACTCAGAGATTTCAGTTTTGCAGCTCAACACATTCCCCACATTTTTGGGCATGAAAATAGTCATTTCACTGATTTCTTTTTTAAACACAAAGTGTATTTTACAGCATTCAATTGACATACCATGGAAAGCTCTAAGCAAATGCCGAGCGCTTAAGAAATACTAAGTAAGTCATATGCTCTTGCTCACAGATGATGTATCGTATTATCTCCTTTCCAATTAGAATGGCTATGAATAGGAGCATTCTAAAATACCCTATAAAAAAACAATCTTCTGGACTTTTAGTAGTGGCCTTCTTGACTATTAACTGTGGAGTTACTTATTATTTATGTAAATGAATGGGATTTCTCTCCCTCCATTTACTCTGTTTTCTGCATTCTGAAAAAGAAATGTGAATTCAGTTTTTATTTTGTTCACCATAATGACCTACTCCAAATCATTGCAAGGGACATTTCTAATAAGTTTTGTTTTATTTTCCTCATGTCATTAAAATGAATTTTCTGTTTTTTTTTTTTCCCTAGGAAAATTGAAGAAAGATATTGGTAATTCTCCTTCACAGTTAAAAGCTATGAGAAATTGTATTATTCTATCTCAATTTCCCTTTTCCTTCACCTTTCCTCCTGACTTGATTTTGCCTTTTTTTCTTGTCCCTCAACATAAAACAATTTTACTGCTTTTATTGATTATGTACGTAAACTGAAATGAGTTTGAAAGCATAGAGTTAAACTTTTTTTATACCTGACAGTTTCAGAAGGCCCTAAAGGCTTAAAAATTATTATACTAATGATTGTACAAATTTTTCATTATCCCTTTACTGTACCCTTATTTACTTGAGAATCTGGTCTTATGTGTACATCTCCTTTCAGCTCAGATGAATTCAGCTCGATTCCAGACTGGTAAGTAAGAACTTCTTTCTAAAGAACACATTACATAAATGATAAGACACAAAACTGTCCTGTAATATTCAATCCTAGAAAGAGTAAGGTATGGAATGTCACTGACCACACACAGTCTGTAAAATCATAAATGGAGTACAATCTGAAAAAGATTTTCAAGAGATAGTTACTACTACATTGGACATCCCCCCTCCCCAAAATAAAGGAGAAAATCTGGTTTGTCTAATATAAGTTTTCCATAACTTTCTTCCAGTTCTTTTCTTTCCATTCACCTCTCCATTTTCTACCTCTAACTTTGCTTTTCTTTTAGGTTAGTTTTCACACAAAATTCGTATGCTTTGTGCATCATACACATACACTGTGTTTCACACATTCCTACATTCACATTATGGATGTGATCATATTGTGTTTTACAAAATTAATGACCATTGGTCTATGCCCACTATTGATCTATGCCTACCCTTATCTCATCTTTTCAGGTCCTCCCTGGATCTTTCCTAAATTCTTCACACATATATCTCCACTTGGCCAATCTCTGTTATCCTAGTGTTTTCCTCCACTCACTACAACCCTGCTTCCCTACGTCTGCCTCTTCCCCTTTTGGACTTTTACTCACTTCTTCCTAGTCACCACTGTATTTTTACAAAATGGTCTTATGCAATATTTGCCCTTATGAGACTGAATTAGTTCATTCAGCACAATGCTGCCTAAATCCAACACTCTTCTCCAGCACCACACATATCAAAGACTTTAGTTCTTTTTCTCTCATTCTTAGTCCCTGCCCAGCTCTCAGATACATAGCAAACAATTGAGAAAACTTTGACATGGATGGACATCTGGATGCCTTAATTTTTGGAATGACATCATTGCTTTTTAGCACTTGTGGGAGGTCCTTAAGGGCAGATTGTTCCATTGCAACCCATCTTTGATTTCCTGACTTCTGGTGTGCATTGTCAATCTGAGCAAGATGAAATGCTTGACAACCTCAATCTTTTCTCCACCTGTCATGAAGTTACTTCTTGGAGGTTATATGTCTTGATCTCCTGCAGCAAATGCTTCAAAATCCTCCTTAGTTTTGGTGAACAAGTTTGTGTCATTTACACAGTACAGATTGTTGATGGGTCTTCCTCTCATCCTGACACCACGTTGTTCTTCCTAAAGTCCAGCTTACTGACTCCTCTGTTTAGAATATTATGGATTGAAAAAATTATGGACTTTGTTTCTGTCCTTGACACACTCCTTTCTTGATTTTGAACCATGCTGTGTTCCCTTACTCTTTTGGATCAACAAGTTCTCAGTCTAGAAAGAGACCTTCATGAGCCAAATAATGTATTCTGGGATTCACATTCTTTTCAATATTAGTTGCAATGAGAAATTTTACTATTGTTGTTGTTGCTGAATAATGTCAAATTTTTGATGACTTATAGCAACCCTATGAATAAAATACCTGAACACTTGTATAACTTTCATCTTTTCTCCTAGTTCAAAAGGTTTATAGAGGCAAGCTATTTCAGAAGTGGATGTCACTCCTGCTTCCAAGCTTGTTTTAATCGGGGAGCTCCACCAAACAGTGTCCACCATGAGTACCATTATTGCATTTGACACATCAGTGGCACAGTGTTTTGCATCAACAGCAACCATGAGTTACCTCTGTACAACAAATGGACAGATCTGTGCTCTGCCATTTAGAAGAATGTTTGACCAAAACCAATTAAAACTAGCCCTGTGGGCCATAGACTAGTATCACCCACCTTTGGCTTAAAAATTTTCTTTCTTTCTTTCTTTCTTTCTTTCTTTCTTTCTTTCTTTCTTTCTTTCTTTCTCTCTCTCTCTCTCCTTATTATATCATTCTAAGACTATCTATATTTTATGTGTCTGTTAGAGTAACACCACACTCTTGTTACCAAATTTCATCTTTGTTATTTAATGCTACTATAACTGAGAAACGAAAAGTGAATGGATTATTATATAACTATTTTCCTTAGGGTTTATTTGCCTAGAATTCCTAATGTAGGGCTATATTTAGAAGAATTCTCTCTTTTTCTCTGTCTCTGTCTGGGTATGCCTGTATGTGTGAGTTCTGGGGAAACTTCTGTGTTTTCTTTAGCAACTGTAGGCCAGGAATGACCTAGAGATTTTCAAGTGTGTTGACATTACCTGGTTTCAAGCAGCTTCTTCTCTCAGGCACCTAGTTTAAAAAAGATACCTGCCCTCTCTTCTGCCATTCTCACCATCTGTGAAAGCACTAGAGCCCATTGCTGACAACACCAGGTCAACCCATCTCATTGGAGATCTTTCTCTCCTTTGATGATCTCACATTTTTCCAAGCCTGATGTCCCTCTCCAATGAACAACCTTGCCTAGCTATATGTCCAAAGGATGAAAGGCAGAGCTTGGTCCTCTTTGACTACAAGGAACACTCTAGCTGTACCGTCTTTGAGACATACCTGTTTGTTCTGGTTGAAGTCCATTCAGTACTATTCTCCAGCACCATCATTCAAACCATCAATTCTTCTGTCATCCTTATTTATTGTCCAGCTCTCTGATGCATAGCAGGTGATTGAGAAAACCATAACTTGTATTAGATGTGCCTTAGTCTTGAAATTGACATCATAGGACTTCTGCATTCAGAAGAGGTCTCTGAAAGCACACATGCCCACTGCAATAAGTCTCCCAATTTTCTGACTGCTGGTACCAAGGGTATTGATTGTTGATCCAAGGAAGGTGCAATCTATGACAGCTTGAATCCTTTCTCCATATATCATAATGTTGAATGTTGGTCCTGTGGTAAGGACCTTTGTTTTTCTGAGGCTGAGATATAATCCATACAGAAGTCTGTAGACCTTGATCTTCTGCAGCAAGTGTCTCAAGCAAGCACTTTCACTTTCAGCAAGCAAGGTTGTATCATCTGCGTAACACAGGTTATTTATGAGTCTTCTTCTGATCCTGATTCCACATTATTCCTCATTGAGCCTGGCATCTTGAATTATTTGCTCAGCATACAGATTGAGTAGATATAAAGAAAGGATACCACCCTAATGTGACCCTTTCTAAATTTTGAACCATGCAGTGTCCCCTTGCTCCTTTTTCACAACAGCCTCTTGATCCAGGTATAGGTTTCACATGAGCACAAGTAAATGTCCTGAATGTCCCATTCTTCTCAATGTTAGCCATAACTTGTTAGATTCACATAGTCAAATCCCATTGCATAGTCAATAAAGCACAAATAAACTGGTATTCTTTCAGCCAGCATCCTACTGACATTAGCAATGATATTGCTGGTGCTACAGCCTCTTCTGTATCCTGGTTGGACTTTTGGAAGTACCCTATATATGTACTGTCCTAACCTTTTTAAAATGTTCTTCAGCATCATTTTGCTTGCATGTTATATTAATGATGTTGTTCCATAGTTTCCACATTCTGTTAGATCACCTTTATTGTAAATGTGGGCAATTATGATTTCTTCCACTCAGTCACCCAAGTAACTATCATCCAAATCTCCTGGAATAAACTGATTAGCACACCCAGGGCTGTGTTTGTTAATTGAAACATAACTGTTGTATCCCATCAATTCCTGAGCCTTGTTTTTTGCTAATGCCTTCTGATCAGTTTGAACTTAGATTTTCATTACCATTGACTCTTGTTCATATGTTACTTCCTGAGATTTTTCAGTGTCAACTAATTCATTTTTGGGACAATGGTTCTGCATATTCCTTCCATCTAAATGTATGCTTCCTGGATTATTCAAGATTGTATCCATATGTTTCAATATTGCAACTCAAGACTAGAATCTGTATTTCAGTTCTATCATTTTGAGAAATGCTGAATGAGTTCTTCACTTTTCCAACTCTGCCTCCAGCTTTCTGCAACTTACTTAAAATAGTTTATCTTGAGTTGTCATCTGAAATCTTCTGTTTAAATCTTTTACTCAATAATCTCTTCCTTTTGTTTTGGCTAGTTCATGCTCTAATGTCATTTTCATAGTGTCTTCTGACATTCTTTCAGTTTTTTCATTCTCCTACTTATTTGCAAAACATTTTTGCTCTCTTCATGGTTGATATCTTTGA